TTTATGCCCTTTTGTGATGATTTCTGTTGTTGGGCAAAGTTTGTGGAAGAAATGGTAATATTTGAACATTGAGGAGCGTTGGCTCAAGTTGTGAAGTGAATTGTGAAAGAATAATTGGCAATTGAACCTTATAGAGCATTGGCTCAAATTGTGAATCGAGTTGTGAAATAAATGTAAAAACGAGAAGAGGATTATGGTATTGTTCCCTTGCCGGGATGTTGTTGTTTTGATATTGTTCCCTTGTCGGGATCTAATTATGATTCATTTATTTTCCTTGCCCTCATTGTTTGTGTTTGTTGTTTGGGTGAGGAAGAGTGTAAAGCACAAAGGGTAATACCGTGCATTGTTTTGGTGAGAGAGTGTTAAAGCACGAAGGGTGATGCCGTGCACGATATCTGTGAGGAAGAGTGTAAAGCACGAAGGGTGATGTCGTGCATTATTTTGGCGAGAGAGTGTTAAAGCACGAAGGGTGATGTCGTGCCGCACGATGTACAATTCCGTGCCGATTATATTGATTTTATGGTGAGGATGAGAGTAAAAGCACGAAGGGTGATGCCGTGCAGTTTATATTGATTTTTATGGTGAGGATGAGAGTAAAAGCACGAAGGGTGATGCCGTGCACTTGTCCTTGATTTTCCTGATTTTACTGGTAATTGAGTTATGGTGTTCTTTACGCTTACTTACTGATTTTCTGTTGTTACTTGATTTTATGGTGATGTTATTGATTCCCTTGCCCAAATTGCTTTGTGATTGTTGCTTGGGTGAGGAAGAGTGTAAAGCATAAAGGGTGATGCCGTGCATTGTTTTGGTGAGAGAGTGGTAAAGCACGAAGGGTGATGCCGTGCACGTGTCTTTGATTTCCTGATTCTTATTGATAACTGAGTTATGGTTTCTCTACATTTAATTGTTGGTTTTCTGTTGATACTTGTTGTACCCCGCAGCATGATCCCCCTTCCTATCTTCAATTGAGCTGTGGTGATCTTGATATTTATTCGTTGTTCTTCTGTTATTATTCGATGTCCCCGCAGCATGTTTTCCCCTCCCATCCTTAGCTGTACATTTCTGCTTATATTATTTCTCTGCTGTATATGATTTAACTGCACGGGTTTACTTGGTAGTCGGGTCCTAGCCTCGTCACTACTTCGTCGAGGTTAGGCTAGGCACTTACCAGCACATAGGGTCGGTTGTGCTGATACTACACTCTGCACTCTTTTGTGCAGATCCAGTGTTGTAGATTACGGACCGTAGTGAGATTGTTGTTTCGCGTTCATCAGGAGACCCGAGGTAGTCCTGCAGGCGTCCGTAGGCCTTGGGTCTCCTCCTAGCTATTATTCCTGTTTCTTTCTTGTATTTCCAGAGACAGTGTTGTATTATTTCTTTCAGACCTTTATTTCTAGCACTCTTAGACAGTCTGTGAAGTAGTGACACCAGTCTTGGGTAGACTGTTATGGATTTATATTGGTAGCACTATTAAAACTTTGAAATTTATTCTTCCGCCTATTAAATTATGTTGTTTATTAATTGTTGGTTCTAAATTGTTACTGAATTAAAAATGGAGACCAGGTGAATAATTCAATTGGTTGGCTTGCCTAGCTTTCACTAGTAGGTGTCATCACGACTCCCGAGGGTGGGAAATCCAGATCGTGACAACACTACCACCAGCAATTACTGCCATTGATTATCATAATCATCATCACCCACCGCACATCCATCATTTCTGGCCTACGCCCTACGACCACCATCTTAAAAGTCAAGAGTGCAAGACAGGACCCTTTACTTAGTACAGGGTGAGAAGTCAGCCCCGAGATATAGCCCCACAGATTTTTAGATATGAAAAATACATTAAAAGTTCAATAAAAGTGAAAGAGGTTAATAAAGCTCATAGAAAACAAAACAAAAAAATTCTATTATGTTTATATATGATAATTGGCTATAAATGTATATTTCTAGTGTATTACTTGCCTTATATTTTGGTGTTTTAATGATAATATGTGCAATGTTTAGGCTTAAATGTGTCATTTTTTTGTGTAGGATCGTTGCAGGATGAAAACGAATGAAGGTCACACAAGGATATCAAAAATACACAAAAAGAGCACGAAAAGGCTAAAATCAGACAAGGCTTGGAACCAGGCGACGTCTAGCTCCAAGCGAGCTAGACCCCACGTTAGAGCAGGCCTCGCGAGCTCTGAGGCCTGGACCTTTCCCGGTCCGTGCATTAAACGTTTTTTACTTGGTTTTGGACTTGAGGACTCGACCCTAACCTATAAATATCCCCTAAACGTGATTATTGAGAGTTTGATCAATTTTGAAGGCGGCAAAGGCTTAGACACACAAACGGAGGACGAAATTCATTGATTTTTCCATCCTCCATCTAGTATTCATAGCTTCTATGTTTAAAAATAATACTTTGATTATTGTCATGAACATGAGTGGCTAAGAACATCATTATTCTTGGGTTATGGGTTGTTATTGACTATCGTAGTTTGACGGTTGATTATTTTGCTTGAGTTATTATATTAATTTGTTTATTCAATTTGAACTTAATTATTCTATTGCGTAGCTAAAAGTAGAATACTATCTACGGATTTGTAGTTAAACTCAAAAGTGGGAACTATAGTTTGCATATAAGATTGAGTAGAGTAAGTTCTTGAATACGGGCATCAGAGAATAGATTAGCGATTAGGATAGACATATTCTAGTTGCCTTACTTGGTTATTTTTGCAGGAAATACACATGCATTCATGTTAATTCTAATTCTACAAACATATTGAATTAGGTTGGCTCGAATAAGCGAGGGAAGCGTCGAAAGAACTTCACAAGCATAATAAACTTTGTAAACCAACAAATTAGACAAATGGAGTAATTAAATCAACCGAAAGAACGCATAGGAGAGACATTAATCCCATAACCTCAGAATATTTCCATCACACTGAATCTTCCTAAGTGCTTGCTTGTTTGCTTTGCAACTTTGACTTTCTTGCTTGTTAAGTAATTTCATAGTAAATTTTAGCAGTAAAAATCACAATCATCTTCTTCACAACCACTTGAGTAATAAACTTATAAGTAGTTTAGATTGGACGAGAGTTAATCATAAATTCTCGTGGGATAATACTTTCTCATTACTTTATTACTTGTTGACCGTGTATATTTGCGTGTGCATTTGGACCCAACATTATAAATAATGCAATAGCGCTAAAGTAGTTACCATGAGATGCAACTTTAATGTCTTAGCTTTCAAAACGTTACTTTTTACGAATATTATCAAATTACACATTTTACCTCCTAAAGGTAGATAACCAATAAGCTTTATCAATACTACAATTTAAATAATTATTCCTTCATGAATAAATACAAAATTACTTTCAAATAGGAAAATAATAGAAGTTCAATAATTTTGAGAGATAAAAAACTAAGACAAGAAGAGCAATAGTAAGTGAAGATATAAACTTCGGCTATCTATTTCTGAAGAAATGTTAAAATGTCACGGTCTTCTCAATCCTAAAGTATGCAATACTATGATGCATTACTTGAGTTACTCTCTCAATCTTCATATTTTGATAGATGAATAGCACTTTTATCAATCATGTGTCAAAGAATTTGAAGTTCACTAATGCTACTTAGAAAAGTTGACATTTAATTTGTAGAGATCTGCTAAGCGAGTCCTGAGAGTTAAGCGTGCTTAGGGCGGACGATTGGGTGCTTGGATAGTAACAGCTTGTTTGGATGGTTGTTACGCATCGTTTCATAGTGTATCGTATCGTACTGTTTGGATGGTTGTTACGCATCGTTTCATAGTGTATCGTATCGTACTATATTGTATTGTACTGTATCGTATTGTACTGTATCGTTCGATAAATACAATGTTTGGATAGATTGTATCGTTTGCCATCATTTCAAGATATCACGCACCAACAATATGAAGAATAAACTTGCTTTATGATAAAGAACAATTACGACACATGATAAATTATTATATAAAAAGGTAGGGTAAATGATAAAATAAAATTATTTAATAATAATGAAGGGTGAGATTGAGAGAAAAAGACAAGAGAACGAAGCGACCACACCAAATTGGTCGTTACATAAAGTGACACATTTTGTCGTTATGTAACGATGAATTTTACGATACGATACAATAAAATTTAAGTAACAATCAAAATAAACATCATTCTTAAAGTAATAAGACGATACAATACAATGGGTAACAACCATCCAAACAAGCTATAAGCCTCAAAGAATAAACCCCACCTTTATGCCTTAGGGCATTTTTCAAGTGCCCTAACCCAAGGTCGAGCCCAAGTGAATTCTGTAACCATTAGCATATAATTATCACTTATCACTACCATTATATTGTCACCGGCTAGTGTGTGCAAAGGTTGGCGGGAATGGGAAGGACGCACGACAAATTTCTGTGACCTCGGGTGTATCAAGTCATATTTCCAGGTTCTTTCCATCGGGAGTTGGTACCTCCCGCTTTATTGTCTCTTTCTTTATGTTAGTTAAATTGTGGTTATTTAGTTAGCATCACTTTAAGCATATTATTAGAGTACTTGTAGCCGCTACCTGTTATTTTCTAGCTTGGGTCTGTGTTAGTGTTTTCCGGAGTTTGTCGTAAGTATAGTGGCTGTGGTCTGGGATAGTAGAGTAAGGTCATGTCCTCGAGGGGTGCTGGGGGTGAGAAGGGGGGTGGGGAGGGGGTCAGTGGATGGGACGGGAGGCAAGGAGGGTAAGGGGAAAGAGGGAGCTTGTAGATTGAGGATCGGGTCGTGGAACATAGGCACGCTGACTGGTAAGTCTATTGAGTTGGCGAAGATTCTCCAGAAAAGGAAGGTTAATATAGCTGCTTTCCAGGAGACTAGGTGGGCAGGGTCGAAGGCGAGGAATGCGGACGGGTATAAGTTGTGGTACTATGGAGTCGTGAGGGGTAAGAATGGAGTGGGTATCTTGGTGGATAGGGATCTTAGAGAGTCTGTGGTTGAGGTTAGGCGAGTGATAGGCTAATGTTTATTAAGTTGGTGATTGGTGAGTGCACCCTCAATGTCGTTAGCGCTTACGCGCCGCAAGCGGACTTGGACGAGGAGGTTAAGAGGCGCTTTTGGGAGGATTTGGACGAGATTGTGCGTAGTATTCCACCTACTAAAAGGTTATTTATTGGAGGGGATTTTAATGGCCATATTGGGTCGGCTGCTGGTAGTTATGGCGAGGTGCATGGTGGCTTTGGCCTTGGGGATAGGAATGGTGGAGGTACTTTGCTGTTAGACTTCGCTAAGGCTTTCGACCTGGTGATTGCGAACTCGACTTTTCCGAAGGGGGAGGAGCATCTGCTTACTTTCCAAAGTTTGGCGGTGAAGACTCAGATTGATTACCTTCTCCTCAGAAGGTGTGATAGAGGGTTGTGCAAGGATTGCAAGGTTATCCCGGGAGAGACCCTCACGACTCAGTATGAGGAAGAGGAAGAAGAGGTATGCTTGTGGCCGACCGAGGATTAGATGGGGAGCTTTAACCAAGGATAAAGCACAGGAGTTAGAGGGGAGGTTATCCGCTATGGGATCTTGGAGGAGTAGTGGAGACGCGAGCACTATGTGGTCAACGACGGCGAACTACGTGAGGGAAGCGGCGAGAGAGGTGCTAGGGATATCGAAGGGTTTTTCTGGCAGGCACCAAGGCGACTGGTGGTGGAACGACGTAGTCCAAGGTAAAGTGAAGGCGAAGAAGGTAGCGTACGCGAAGTTGGCAGGGAGCACAAGCGAGGAGGAGATGAGAGTGAATAGAGAGAGGTACAAGGTGGCGAGGAAAGAGGCAAAGATGGCGGTCACGGAGGCTAAGAATGCAGCGTTTGGTCGTCTATACGAGGAATTGGGGGAGAAAGGCGGGGACAGGAAGTTGTTTCGGCTGGCTAAAGCGAGGGAGAGGAAGGCCCGGGATCTGGACCAAGTAAGGTGCATCAAAGACGAGGATGGTAGAGTATTGATGGAAGAGTCCCAGATTAAGCAGAGATGGCAGACGTACTTCTATGGTCTTCTAAACGAGGAGGGGAACCGGGATATAGCGCTAGGGGATTTGGGGCATTCGGAGAGTCTTCGAGATTTTAGGTATTGCAGGCGCATTAAGGTGGAGGAGGTCGTGGGGGCTTTGCGTAAGATAAGTAGGGGTAGAGCGACCGGGCCAAACGAAATTCCGGTTGAGTTTTGAAAGTGTGTGGGTAGAGCAGGATTGGAGTTCTGACTGGGTTGTTCAATGTTATTTTTAGGACGAAAAGGATGCCGGGGAAGTGGAGGTCGAGTACAGTGGTACCGTTGTTCAAGAACAAAGGTGATATCCAGTGTTGTAACAATTATAGGGTATCAAGTTACTTAGCCATACCATGAAAGTCTGGGAGAGGATGGTGGAGGCGAGGGTGAGGAAGACGACATCTATATCCGACAACCAGTTTGGGTTCATGCCGGGTCGCTCCACTACGGAAGCTATCCACCTTATTAGGAGGTTGGTGGAACAGTACAGGGATAAGAAGAAGGATCTGCACATGGTGTTTATTGACTTGGAGAAAGCATATGACAAGGTCCCTAAGGAGGTGCTCTGGAGATGTCTTGAGGCAAAAAGCGTGCCGGTAGCCTACATAAGAGCGATCAAGGACATGTATGATGGAGCTAAGACTAAGGTTAGGACTGTGGGAGGCAACTCGGAGCATTTCCCGGTTGTTATGGGATTACACCAAGGCTCTGCGCTTAGCCCGTTCTTATTTGCCTTGGTGATGGATGCACTGACATGCCATATTCAAGGGGATGTGCCATGGTGTATGTTATTTGCTGATGACATAGTTCTAATTGATGAGCCCAGGGTCGGTGTTAACGAGAGGTTGGAGGTTTGGAGACTGACCCTCGAGTCTAAGGGTTTCAAATTAAGCAGGTCTAAGACGGAGTACCTGGAGTGCAAGTTTAGCGCTGAGTCGAGGGAAGTAGGCAGGGACGTGATGCTTGGATCACAGGTCATCCCCAAGAGAGATAGCTTCAAGTACCTTGGGTCGACGATTCAGGGGGGCGGAGAGATCGACGAGGACGTCACTCACCGTATAGGAGCGGGCTGGATGAAATAGAGGCTTGCATCTGGAGTCTTGCGTGACAAGAAAGTGCAACCGATACTCAAAGGTAAGTTTTATAGAGCTGTGGTTAGACCGGCCATGTTGTATGGGGCAGAGTGTTGGACGGTTAAGAACTCCCATATCCAGAGGATGAATGTAGCAGAGATGAGGATGCTGAGGTGGATGTGCGGGCACACTATGATAGACAAGATTAGGAATGAAGATATTCGGAAAAAGGTGGGCGTGGCACCTGTGGATGACAAGATGCGGGAAGCGAGGCTCAGATGGTTCAGGTACGTGCGGAGGAGAAGCCTTGATGCTCCGGTGAGGAGGTGTGAGCGGTTGGCCGTGGTGGGTACGAGAAGAGGTAGTGGGAGGCCTAAGAAGTATTGGGGAGAGGTGATCAAGCAGGACATGGTACGACTGCAGATTTCCGAGGACATGGCCCTTGATAGGAAGGTCTGGAGGTCAAGCATTAGGGTTGTAGGTTAGGGGGTAGTAGAGCTCTCCTTATTTCATACCCGGGGTGAGGCGGGGTTGAATTAGGGTTGATCTTAGATGGCTTGCAGTTTATGTTGAGTCCACACTATCCTTGTTGTTTATCTTAGCCCCGGGCCTTAGATTCTGGTTACTGTTATTGCATGTCATTTATCTTTTGGTTGTTATGCTTCTGTTACTATTACGGTTTCTAGTGGAGTTACCAATGAATTGTCTTTTCTTGTTTTATTTTCATCTTTCTGAGCCGAGGGTCTATCGGAAACAACCCCTATGCCCTATTAGGGTAGGGGTAAGGTCTGCGTACATATTACCCTCCCCAATCCCCACTTTGTGGGATTTTACTGGGTAGTAGTTGTTGTTGTTGTTGTTTTTGTTGTTGTTTTGTACTCTTTAAATAAAGACAGATCATACACATTTGAACATTCTTAACTATACATTGTTAAAATTTAAATATAATCATAATATTCAAATGTGTAAAATTAAGATATTATAGTCTTAATAATAAAAATAAATTGATCCCAATTTAGTAATACAAATGCTGACTGTGTTTATTCTTGAATATCTGGTTAATTGCTCTTTGTTCATTTTAAATGATGATATTTAATTGGATATAAATTTAATTTTTTTAACCGATACCAAAAGTATCCCTAAAAAACGTGTACTACTAATTTGAGATCAATTTGTAATGGTATATTCTTATGGTAAAACTATATTTATTTTTTTGGCATATACCAAAAATATTCTTAACGTCTAATCTATGACAATAAGAGTAATTCTTAAGGTAAATAAAATATTAAACGTTAACTAATTTCTAAATATATAAATATGTTATTTTGAAGTATTAAAAAGAAGAAAGTATCCATATTGGAAGAGGACGTAATATTGTTTCACGGTAGTGGGACCATGCCCTTTGAAAAAGAGATAAAACGAAAAGCACATGAAATAAGAGCCATGAACAGATCCAATCCCCTGAAAACGACACCGTTTTGAGCTCTCTCCTCACATCTAAGATTTCTCCAAATTCATCTATGGAGAAACACATGGACTGCTTCATCAACAAGCTCTCCTTCACATCCATCACAGTTGCCACACTAACACTTCTCCTCCTTTACCTTCAAAACCCCAAAACCTGCATCAATAATCCCCATCAACTCCACAATCCTTTTAAACCAGACCAAAAATTCCCCAAATCCACCTGCAATTTAACCCACCGGGCTTTCACCACTGTAAACAAACACAATCGCCGTATATGGGCCACCAAAGCCTGGATCCAAACAGTCCAATCCTTCACAATCCAATTCCAATCCCTCCAGGCCCAAAATCTCTTCTCCAACAATTCCCGGGTCTTAGTCATCTCAGCCGGGGCTGGTCATTCCGTTATGGCCCTGAATAAGATAGGTGTTAACGATGTCACCGGTGTCGAGCTCGTGGAATCGCCCCCACTTGTGGGCCGTGCGGATCCACACAGTCTGCCGTTCTTTGATGACGTGTTTGATTTTGGGTTCAGCCCGTTTCTGGAACGGGCCTTGTTCCCGGCCCAATACGTGGGGGAAATGGAGAGAACGGTAAGAGGTGGCGGCGCGTGTGTAGTGGCTGTGGAAGAGTGTGGCGGTGAAGAGGTGGAGGAGGTGGTGAAATTGTTCAGAAAGTCGAAGTTGGTGGAGGTGAATAATGTGACTTTTGGTGGAGAAAAAAGGACGAGCATTGTAATGAAAGTTGTAAATTGACTGAATTTATTGCTGCACGAATACTCTGATATTCATTCTTTGTTCAATTCGGTTGCTATTGATTTGCTGTCTAAAAACCGCTGAATTTTCAGCTTGTATACGTTGATGTGTAAAAATTCTTTTGTTAATGAATGAAGTGCAACTTAAATCTATAACAATATAACTTACTCCGGCAATTCTAATTTACTATTCTTGAAAGAAAATACTACTCATAGATTATAATTTAAAGTTTGTTCTGAATAATAAGCTAACAAAAGAGCCTTTGATTTTCTCTCGCCTCGCCTCAAAAAATTGAAACCCTCCAAAAAAGCGCACACAGTATATCAAAAGAAAATCCGAATAACCCCTTTCTAAATTTGGAAATAATTTAGTTTAAACTTACAATTTTACCCTTAATGAGAAATTTTTATAACCACCTAAATACTCTGGGGCGTTTTTTAACTTGTTTAGGATCATAAATTCCAAAAGTCTTCATTCCGTACCCAATCCCTACTCATCCCAAATGTCATATTCTGTTGTTCACCCTTAAAAACGGATAACAATTGAATTTATATATGGTTCTAAGGAAATGTGAATTAATTCAATACAAGTTATTAATAGCGTTAGATTAAACAAATGAAAGACGTAATAACTGGCCAAAACAATGATAGGAGTGATCCCGGGTTCGATTAATGGCTCAATGAAGAACCTGCCTTCGATCCCGAGCTTGTACTTATGAAGAACTGATGAACAAAGATAAGAACTTTGAATAACAGAGAGAATGTAGGTAAATTGCCTCGGTATGCGTGTTATAATATCTGTCTAATAAATAGTTAGTTTTCTCTTTATATAGTAGAGGAATTTTACCCTAAGTACAATTCTAAAAAAGGGTAAAAATCTCTCTTTTCGCCAATTACTGATCCATTGTACAACTGGCTCGATTTTAGCTTTATACTCCGTTCTTTTTTTTTTTCACTAAAAGGGGAAAGGTAATTGATAGTTACGATCAGAAGCAAACCTATGTAATATAAGATTGAGCGATTACCAGACCTGTAAACTTCGACAAAAATCTTGTATATATATCTTGAATATGAGTATATACATAATTTGGCACCCTAAATACTAAAAACCTAGGGGGCATCGACTGAGGGTGCCTCTGTTGCGTTAAAATTCTGGATCTGCCCCTACTTACGACACAACCACCCAGCAACAGAGGTAAAAAATTAAGTAATTATGAGACTATTCCACTACTTGCTTTCACTTGCAAATTGCAAAGTCGATCTATACAGTACTTGTAGTCCACGAGGTTGCTTTCATTGGCATTTATGGCTATAACTTTATCTCAATAGAGTGCAAAAGAAAATGGCTCTGAGATAACATAAATAGATTAACAAGATTGAAGTACTGAGATAACAGGAGTTTATTGCTTTCAAGGAGCTCAGTTGATTTACAATCGTTAATATACAAAGTGCAAAAGTCTGGAACCAACTACTGCTGGATTTTACGTATTATTAGAAGATGAAAATCCTATCCTTGAGAGCAAACTGCAGCTTGAATGTGTATCCCATACACCTTCAAGAAGTTGGATATTGGTCCTGTTCAAACCAAAAACAAATCAGGAAAGAACACAGGCGTGACGAAAATGAAAAGAACCACACTTGTTACGTACCCTGGTAGGTATAAAAGACTAGAAGGTAATGCATGACAAGTACAGCAAGATATCAGTAAGCAAAATAACTTGAATATCAAGCAACAATTATTCATACTATCTTTGCAAATTTGTACAGGGAGATAAAAAAGTTATCATAAAATTACAAAAAATACATCATATTGACTTCGAAATAGCAGTTGAAAGCTCCACAAACCTACACTTGTTTCAAGTATCTTCTTGGATTCTGTCCTAGGTGTCATAATGAAAAATCTAGACCATTGAATTTGTAGTATCTTCCCGTTTACATGTCAAGAAACATAATGAATTGCGTATATACAGATACAGTACCGTTTTCCTTCCGAAAGAGAAGAAGTATACTTAACATTCTGTTAAGATAAAGCAAATGTCAGCAGATCATGTGTTTCCATTAGAAACAATGGTATTCAAGTGTTTTGCTGTTAATTTTTTTCTACTTCTGAGAGATTTTATTTATATGCGCTGACAGTTGAAGTTTGTTTTTATTTCTCGAGTGAGTACCAGCATAAATTTTCTTGAAAAACATCACTACGCGGGTTCCAACATCCCAATCTTAAAGCAGACAAATGGCCCCCATGATTCCACGTTACAAGATACAAGAAATAAAGCACCATGGCCTTTTACAATTCCAATTGCACTTCCATTCATCACACATCAGGATGCAGTTATTGACTTACAAAATACTATTCAACAGTGTACCTTGTGTCTAAACTCAGTCGAGCTCTCAGTTTTTGTACTTCATGGTTTCCTTCTCAAACCCAATTGTAGGGAACTGCTTTGCATACTCCTCCACACCATGGCGAAGTTTTGCAATCTCTGACTGGATGGAAGCACTAGACTGTAGTGTTGTCACAAAATCTTTCAACTTTGTTCCTGGAACATAACAAGTGAACATATGGTAAAGGAAGGATTTTGTTAATAACAAAATAACATAAGGAAATTGATGCAAGCGACTGAGGTAACAGAATCTAAAGGGAATCATCCTGTCAAGAACTAGAAAAATGAAGTGCGTATTCCTAAATAACTTGAAAGAAATGGCTGGTTCTTTGAGATCAATAAATGCAGAAAAAGTTAGATGGAAGTCTATGGACTAAGATCGTATCATTACAGGTATTCAGTAACATTAGGAGGCTTATTCACCTTGAGCTTCAGCCTTTATTTTCACTGCTATCTTCACAGCAGCATCAAAGAATTCAGCAACTTTCACAAAATCTTCCTCAATAAATCCCCTTGATGTGAGTGCAGGAGTCCCTGAACATACAAAATTGCATAAATTTTGTTTGAGAAGAATAACCAAATGGGAAAAAGATCTCAAAGGGCAAAATATGTACCCATTCTGATGCCACCAGGGACCATGGCAGATACATCTCCAGGAACAGTGTTCTTATTGGCTGCAATATGTACCGCTTCCAAAACTTTTTCAACCCTAGAGCCATCAATACCCTGTAAAACCACAAGTCAGAAATTTGCGGTGATTTCAATCTTTCACAATAAAGCATAACAGGCATCAAGATATTACATGCAGCCAACCCATTCACCAATACCTTATCTAGTTTAAAAAAAAGGGCGCTCGGTGTAACAAGTCTTTTTGCTGAATTTGTTAGGTTTACCACAAAGCATCAATCAAATTTTAAGTTTTTCTCAACAAACTCATGGACTAAAATTGTCTCCCAAGTCCTCAGAGGTTGAAAGCTTTTATATTACCTTGTTTTTCAAGTTCACCAAGACCAAGTGATTGTCTGTTCCACCAGAAACAAGTTCATAACCCATTCCCGCTAAAGCCTGCAGGATTGGAAATGTGCACAGCAATGAAGGAAATCAGCATTTCATAGATTATGACTGAAACATAAACTAGGTGGATGAAAATAAACTAATGGATTAATAAAATAGTGCTTGAATTGGAAATTACATAATTCAATCCATCTTACCTGGGCAAATTTTGAGCAGTTGCTAAGGCATTGCTCTTGGTAAGCTTTGTATTCTGGAGTCATTGCCTGCATTTCCGTTCTTTGTGAGCGCTTATACTCAAAAGTAGATATTAGGAAAAGGAGCAGACTGACAATATGTGTCTTCAATATCAGTTGTCATATATGATTGAAGAAAGATTCAAAGGTAGGTGGAAATGTTCAAGAGGTAATGAAGTGATTTCAGAAAGTACTGAAACCAGACGAGGTGTAATTTAAATTTATATGTTTCTCAAAATCATTTGCTGAAAAAGATCCATACTAAAAATAATTCGGTTCTTGATTCCTGAAAGGCTTATTTCATAATTTCATCAATCATCGGCTAGAGGTGATGGTCTAGTATTTGCATGAAGTGAAATTAAACTTAATATACTAAACCAGTTTCATTGCAATTGTCAAAACAGTGAATGTTGTTGAAAAGATATGAAACCTGTTTCAAAGCAACTGCCAAGCCAGTAATTGTATGATTGTGAGGACCGCCTTGAAGTCCAGGAAAGACTGCCTGGTTAATTTTATCTTCATAGTCGTACAACACCTTCATAAAAGCCCAAAATATTGTTCAATTACATCAGATACTGGGTGATACTTCTCTTAAATTACAGGTCTTAAGAGATGACTGGATGTAATATTGAATTCTGATCTCCAAATACGAACCTCCTTGCCTTGCTTGTTAACCTCCTTCACACCCTTCCGGAAGAAAATCATGGCACCACGAGGCCCGCGAAGGGATTTGTGGGTTGTGGTGGTCACAACATCTGCATAATCAAATGGTGATGGGATGACTCCAGCTGCAACTAACCCACTAATATGAGCCATATCTGCCAACATGATAGCCTTCTGTTTGTCACAAACCTGAAAAATACACAGGAGATAGGAGTTCAATTTAGTTCCATAAAAAATCATTTAAATTGCTCTAAATAACTACCGCATAATAATCCTGGTTAAGTTTACCTTTCGGATACGTGCATAGTCGTAAAGACGTGCATAAGCACTAGCACCAGCAACAATTAACTTTGGCCTAAAGAGTGTGGCACTTTTCTCAAGCTGCAAAAAGAAATCACAAGTCACGGGGAAAGGGTCAGAAGGAGAGGCATCAGTTATTGCAAAATGTCACAAGTATGAACAGAAGTAGATGGCTTGTAAATCTTACACTAAACATTCACATCTCTCTTGAATACTACTTACTAGTATAACTGGACGAAAAATCTATTAAATAAATAACGCCAAAAGAATCTGAAAAATGTGATCCACCAAAAAATTATGTAGGAATGGACTCTAAAAGTGGGTCAATGCAAGACAAACTGCAATAGACATTGCATATATGATAAGTGTAAGAGGCTCAGTTTCAGTTTCAATTTTCAGAAAGATATAATCAGTGAAGTATTTTCCACCTCTCCACACTCCTCCTAAGGGAAATTTTCCTAACTTTGCTCCCACAGGAAAAAGGAATAAAAAAGAACATATGTAGTGTATATTTGATCAAGGGAGAGGCTAGAAATGAAGAAAAAAATGTAACAGGATA